AGAATGTTCTAAAATGTCAAGGCAGTTGCTTGTGTTTAACTGTGAACAAATAAAATGTATTGTTTTGCACTACCTCGCGTTAAATTCCCTGCAAGCCAGCCTCTTTGGGACCGAGCTGTGCCGAGATGAAGTGTGCAGGAGCAAGTCCAGTATCGAAGCATCTTCCAAGATGTGCCCAGCACGGAGCATATAAGTGGTTCTGCCCCTTTCTGCGTGGGGTTCTTTCTTAGAAGCTCGTTTTTCTGCATGGAGCCGAGGCCTTTTTTCTCCTGTGAAAAACCAACTCGGTGACAACATGCTGGTATAATCCATAAATTAACTGCAAACAATTCAGTGCCGCAAAGCTGCGTGTTCGCTTTCAGTGTGGCATCGTTCGTGTAGTCCGGAGACTACACAGTAATTAGACAAATTACCAGCTGAAGATGTCAAATGTTTGCAGAGCTGGAGGTGCTGTCAGAAGCTGGCCAGCTCACTCTGTCCCTGTTGACATGCTTTTCTCTTCTGTACCCTGCTCAAGAATCACTCTGCTGCAGGACAGTTTCACAAACCAGGGAAAACTTTGGGGCCATTTTACTGTAATTTTAACCCAGTAGGTTAAGGTTGTTTCCTTCTTTTTTGGTTGGTTCTCCCCCACCCCCCAGACTGGCACTTTATTACTGTTTGGTTGGGGTTTTTTCTGAATTAAATGAATATTTGAAAGGTTGCTCAAAGCAACTTAGAAATTTATACGTGAACCTCAGTGTTCCAGAAGAATTCTTAAATTTGAACAGGGGATGGCGTGAGTGGCATACAGTCTGTTCGTGAACATACTTTGGCTGAGTAATGGTGTTTATGGAGAACTTTTGTATAAAAGTTATCAGAAACATTATCTTGGGGCTAAGTGATGTAGGTAGTTCTGGGCCTTCTGCGTTGGGATGAGTTCTACAGCGTGGTGGAAGTGAAATGAAAACAAAGCAGAAAGTGACTTTGACTTGCTCTAGCCTTATTTTAAATCCGTTTTGCGTATCTCTTAACAAGCTTAGCATTGAAAAGCTGCACTTGCCAGTGTAAAAAATTAATTAGATCCACCAGGGTACAAAAAGAGAAGAATAAAGTACCTTCCCTATGCACTGATGCTAAGTAGTGTGGTAGTTCATAACCCAGCTGTGAGGAATAAACATGCAGTAGACAGTGGGGCAGGAAATAATTTCATTTCCTGAATTTAAACTATCTTTGCTGATTGATCTTGATTGATTGGAACTACTTGGCTGCTGGTGCAAAGATGGATTTTAAAAGTAAGTGGTTACAAAGTATTTTAGAAAATCGGCAAGAGTTGAGTTTACTTTCTTCATGCAGGAACTCCTGCGAGTGGAGCTCAGTTGAGCATTCACATAGGCTTTACTTTTCAGACAGAACTTCGTTCCACGTAATTTTGGCCAATGGTCTTCACGATTTTGGTGTCTGTGATCTTTCCTAGCTAACCCTTTTTTTCTTGAAGCCCCCTTCAAGCACAGCCTCTAGTTTTGGACTCTTAGTGTCTGCCAAACGCTGAGGTTTCTTCCAAAGGGGCTCTGCCCTCCATCTCTGTGGCACAGTGGTTGGTTTGCAGTTGGCTGAAACCTGGGTTTCAACTGGTGCTGCACCGCCAGCGAGCGAATTGGGCTTGGTGGTCTTTAGTGTCTGCCAAACGCTGAGGTTTCTTCAAAAGTGGCTCTGCCCTCCATCTCTGTGGCACAGCGGTTGGTTTGCGGTTGGCTGAAACCTGGGTTTAAACTGGTGCTGCACCGCCAGCGAGCGAATTGGGAACTCTTGAGGAAAGCAGAGCTGTGCTGCTGCCCGCGGTGTGTTCCTAAAGCAGCGAGGGGACCGGGAAGAGCCGATCGCGGCTGAAATTCCAGCCGCTGGCGAGAGCGGGAGGGGGCGGCGGCCCCGCGCGGCCCGGCAGAAAGGGTTAAAAAGCCCCGTTAGACGCGGGACGGGTGAGACAGACAGCGGGGGGTGGTCGGAACTTCTGAAAAATGGCTTTTGGGAGCTGTTGCCCGCTGAACGCTACCGTGAGGGGCGATCGTTGGTGGGGCGGGGGGCGAGCCCGGCGGTGGTCGCCCCGCGGTCCCTGCCGCTCGCCCCGCCGCTTCCCGGGCGCGGCCACTAGAGGCCCCGCGAAGCTCGCCGCTTCGCTCCGCACCGGTTTAATGACATTTTGGGGATGCCGCGTTTCCCCTCCCGTTCCCTTGGCGCCCACCGCCATCCCTGACACCTGATCCTGGCTCCCTGGGGTCCTGCCCTGGCGGCAGGCTGCCAAAAGCCTGGTTTGACCCTTAGCCGAGTCAAGGCGGGCACAGGGTGACTTGGAGCCTACAGATGCCAGGATTCTGTCGAGATATCCAATTCCAGCCCGTAGCTCCGTTTCCGTCTTTGAACAAAAACGCAGCATTTATTTCCCAGACTAACTGGCAGATCTCTCGGTGAGTCGGGTTGGTGCCCTGCCTGGTTTCTCTGTATCTTGCGATTTTATGCTCACAAAGGCTAAAGTAAAACTTTATTGCACTTCTGTGTTTGGCATTTACATCCTGTATATGTAAATTCTTCAAACAGCTTGATTTGTAGCAGAGAAAAACAATTCTTGCTGTATCTTTTTGTCTTTTGAAGTGTCCATCCACTTCGGAAGACGAGAACTTGTATGGAAATTAAGTAATTTGTCTAGATGCTTTTGTGAGACTTCACTTTGCAGTCTTCCAACAGAGTCTGGTCATGTCATTACCAAACCTCAGACTGCAAGTTTGTGCACTCATTTTTCTGCTTGTGTCTTAAAATTTTGGCTGCATAAGACTGATTGAAAGGATAGGGCTAGGCTAGAAATTATTAGTAAGGTTTGGGAACTGTGTTTCTTGCGTGTATCACAACCTTTGTCAAGGTCGAATGGACAACGGCATCGGCATGTTGAACAGCAGGGTCGGGGAGGTGGCAGGCTGGGTTTGACAGCACTGCTCTGACAAGCCATTTGTGCTGTGCTGTGGAAGCTGAAAGTGAACTGCAAACTGGAGGACAATTTTGGTCTCATCGGAGCCCGCGTGTTCAAATTTAAGCTATACGAGAGGGTGAGGAAGGTTGGAAACAAGATCTGGGAATAGCGTCTCTTGTGTCCCCAACACTCGTCATCTCTTAGTCCACGTAGCGTGTACTTGTTCCAAAAAACTTTCCAAGATAGCAACTGTCATCGGATGCTTTTGCAACATGAAACACAATAGGGCAGCTGTGAGCAGCTTTGATTTTTCTGCCTGAAGCTACTTCTGCAACAGGGCTCTCAAAAAACCCTGAGAGGGTGACGGTCATATTTTACTGGCCGTGCCCCAGTAGTGCCTAGGAGTCTCTGCGTGACCCTGGCAAGCTTTGTTACCCTCTTGAGTTCACCGAGGTTTGATTCAGCTGGATCACGATGTCTCCTAAAAATAGGCTTCTACTCCAGGATGGGTAGATGTGTTGCATTGTAGCACATGTGGACAGGAGAAGGGAAAAATGGGCAAAAGAACGTGGGGTTATGTGAGGAATACGAATGCTCCTGAAAATACTTCCCATTTTATCAGAGCTATCAGTCCTTCCTATGCTCCCTCTTCTGTATTAATTCTCCCTTCTTTTTTGGCTGCTTGTTGCCAAAATCTGGTCATCTTAAGGCAAAAGCTTTCTCACAGTTTTAGCAAACTGAGCCCGGGGCGCAAGGGGAAACTGTTTATTCAGGAGTGTCTTTCA